TTTTTTTTTTTTTTTTTTTTTTTTTTTTTTTTTTTTTTTTTTTTTTTTTTTTTTTTTTTTTTTTTTTTGGGGCTGCTGCAGACACGACTTGCTTATGTAGAGCTACTGCTTAGTACATGTATTTCTTTATTATTAACTTATTTAATGTTTTCTTTCCGTTATACACATACTAAAGAAATGGCTAAACCCTTAAAAGCTATTGTTCTTATACCAGGTAAACCCTAAACCCTAAACCCTAAACCCTCATATAAACCCTAAACCCTATAAATATACTATAACTACAAGAACAATATACAATCTTATGCTGCATCTAACCCTCTATGCACCATTATCAACACCATCACCATCATCATTTCCTGCTTCTTCTTGTGCTGCTGCTGCTGCTGTTGCTGCTGCTGCTGCAGCTGCATTCCTATTAGCATTTATATTCCATCCTAGTCGTAATTGGTTTAGTATACAAATATTTGTTGCTTTTTCTATTTACCTTGAGGCATTTGCCCTCTTACCTCAATTATATTTCCTTAGAAGAATGCTTGAGGTAAACCCTAAACCCTAAACCCTACAAACCCTAAACCCTACAAACCCTAAACCCTACAAACCCTAAAACCCTATTAAACCTAAACCCTAAACCCTAAAACTGCTGTTAGGTCCATGCTAGAGTTAATAATATACTGGAGTTTATTCTCTCAGCTAGTTAGCCAGCTAGCTACAGTGCTAGTTAGCTAGCTAGCCAGTTATCTATTTATCTAGCTAGCTAGCTAGCTAGCCAATTATATAATTGGGGTGTATACGCAGGTGGAGCCATTAACATCTCATTATGTGGGGTTGTTGGTCATCTCTCGTATTGTTCGCCTCTTCTTCTGGGTTACACTCTACCTGCAGGGTAAGCTGCTGCTGCTGCTGCTGCTGCTGCTGCTGCTGCAGCTGCTGCTCGTGCTGCTGCTGCTAGTGTTGCTGTTGCTGCTGCTGGTCTCGACCGTTGCTGTCTTGTCGGTGCTGGTACTGACTTTGTTGCTGCTACAACGAAGACCTGCTGCTTTCTGACGCCACATTTGCCTGTGCTGCTGTTGCTGCTGTTGCTGCTGCTGCTGCTGCTGCTGCAGGTGAGCATTTTTTGGGTTTGTTTTTGGCGGATTTGCTGCACAGCGCGTTAGCAGCAGATTATTTTGTTCTATGGTGTTGTAAGCTTCGTCGTGGGGGGACTCTTATCTATAAGGGGCGCCTCTCTGTCTAGCTAGCTAGCTAGCTAGCTGGTTATACGTATAGCTAGCTAGCTAGCTAGCTGGCTAGCTAAATGGTTAGCTAGCTAGGTAGCTAGACAGAGGGTCAAGGGGGATAGCTGGCGCTGTTGATACAGCTGCGAGTTGCTGCTGCTTTGTCCGGGTCAATGGCTAGGTAGCTAGCTAGCTACGTAGCGTATTGCTAGCTAGCTGGGTAGCTAGCTAGCTAGCTAGCCAGGTGGCACGAAGGTAGATAAAGAGGTGGCTCTTCTTATTGTGTGGATACACCTCGAGAGGGAAGACAGACGAGGTGCCTAGACACCCCAAAGCTTGGACAGCAGCAACAGCAGCACCTGCACCACGTCAGCAGGGAGCTAGCTGCTGAGGCGGCGTCCATGCTGCAGCAACAGCTGCTTGCTGCTGCTGTTGCTCTTGCTGCTGCTGCTGCTGCTGCACAAGAAGCAGCAGCAGCTGCTGGTGGAGGCTGTTCAGCAGGTGTATTTGCAGGTCGCGAGACATAGAGTTGGGAGGGGATCAGCAGCGCTATGCCTAGCAATAGCTAGCTGCAGCTAGCTGTAGCTAGCTGCCGCTGGCTGTCTCCTCCTCCCCATGTATTTGCTGCTGCTGGTGCTGCTGCTTCTTAGCAAGCGCAGCAGCAGCAGCAGCAGCAGCACCAACCCAGAGATTCGCCATCCGGCGACAGATGGGCGATTTGAAAGTCGATGTATTTACACAGCTAATTAGCCAAATAGCTAGCTAGCTAGCTAGCTAGCTAGCTAGCTGGGTAGTTAGCTAGCTAGACACGGGCCCGGCAGCTAGCCGGCTAGGTGGTTCTCAGCTTTGTAGCTGCTGCAGTTGCTGCAGTTGCTGCAGTTGTAGCCAACACAGCCGTAGGACAGTTGCAGCTAGTTAGTTATATCTATAGGCTTATTCTCGGCTAGCTAGCCAGGGAGTTAGCTAGCTTATACAGGCTAGGGCATGGCTAGCTACCTCTGTACAGCTAGCTGATGAAACTGTCCCTCACAGCCGTAGTCTCGACTGATGGACTGCTGCTGTTGCTGTTGCAGCTGCTGCTGCTGTTGCTGCTGCAGCAGCAACCTAGCAAGCCAGCTAGCCAGCTAGCTGGCTAGCTACGGAGGAATGTAACGGAAGAAAGCTTAAAGGGACAGCTCGGGAGCAAGAAAGGTTTGGAGACAAGGAGAGAAGCAGCTAGACTTGTCCGCTGCTGCTGCTGCTGCTGCTGCTGCTGCTGCTGCTGCTTCTACTGCTATTGATGCGCTAGCTGCTGCTGCTGTTGCTACTGCTGCAGCTGCTGTTGAAGCAGCTCTTGCTGCACCAAGAGCTGCAGCAGCAGCAGCAGCAGCGGGAAAAAGAGAGCAGCTAACACCTACGGCTGTCTTACTCGATGTGCAGCAGCAAGGCTGCTGCTGCTGCTGTTTAAAATGTAAGGCCTTGAACAAACTCAAGCAGCAGCAGCAGCTGGCACTGTTGCTCTTGCTGCTGCTGCTGCTGCTGCTGCTGCTGCTGCTGCTTTAAATTCTGGGCTCGAAGAGAGGGACGATGGAGTCGATGTGTTCTTTGCGCTGCATCAATATCTGCAACAGCAACAAAGACACAGAAACAACCAAGACACACAATCCATGCTGCTGCTGCTGCTGCTGCTGTTGTTGCTGCTGTTGCTGCTGTTGCTGCTCTTTGTCTCGCTGCTACTGTTGCTGCTGCTGTGAAAGGAGACACACCATCTCCGATATCCACACAATGTTGCGGATCTCCTGCTCCTTTAGCTTAACCCAAGCATAGAACACTCCTGCAGCAGCAGCAGCAGCAGCAGCAGCAAAAATCACAGCAGCAGCAATGAGCACAACAGCAGCAACAAGTACAGCAGCAGACCTCTAGCAGCAGCAGCACACCACCATACCACCACCACCACCACCATCACCACCACCACCACCGCCATCAGCAGCATCAGCATCAAAATGAGCAGCAGCAGCATCAGCATCAGCATGAGCAGCAGCAGCATCAGCATGAGCATGAGCATGAGCAGCAGCAGCAGCAGCAGCAGCAGCAGCAGCAGCAGCAAGAGGCGTACCATAATGGAATTGTTGCTCGAAGGTGAGTTCACACATTTGTACAATTTCTCGATAAAGAAGATCTTCTAATGTCTTAAAACGTGAGCTCATGTCTCCTTTGTCTCTCTCCTGTATTCACATAATAATTATTTATTATTTATTATTATTATTATTATTATTAATTTATAATTTATTATTCCTCCTGCTTCTGCTGCTTCTGCTGCTGTTGCTGTTGCTGTTGCTCTTGCTGTTGCTGTTCATACGGTGGCACCAGCAGATGATGGGGATGCAGCAATAGCAATATAGAAAAGCACGGGACACAACAACAGCAGCAGCAGCAGCAGCAGCAGCAATAGCAGCAAAAGGAGCAGCAGCAGCGACAGCAGCAGCAGCAAAGGTTCTTAGCTTACATCTGCAACGTAGAAGGCGCGGCATTGATCATAGACATTTAAATATCTCTGCAGCAGCAGCAACACACAACACATATTAACAACATTGTTGCTGCTGCTGCTGCTGCTGCTGTTGCTGCTGTTGCTGCTGTTGCTGGTGTTTCTGCTGCTGAAAGGAGACACCTACAGGGTATGGCTCTAGGGCTGCCCTCAGAGTAGGGTCGTTCCATGCTTTGCGGATCCTGTCAGTCCCTGCAGCAGCAGCAGCAGCAGCAGCAGCAGCAGGAATGAAGGGAACAAGGTAGACACAGCAGCAGCAACACAATCAACAACAGAAGCAGCTGTTGTAACATCTAGTGTAGCTGCAGCAACAGCAGCAGCAGCAGCAGCAGCAGGAGGAGGAGGATAGAGAGGAGACGAACCATCTGGGTATAAGTATCCAAAGCTAGGGAAGAGGGAAAGTTTCTCTATTTGCTGCTGCTGCTGCTGCTGCTGATCAGTGCTTAATGAATTTATTGCCAAAGATAAAACCCTAAAATCCGCCTCCGTCTGTACACACACAAACCCTAAACCCTAAACCCTAAACCCTAAGCCCTAAACCCTAAACCCTGAGGAGAGAAAAAGCTTGAAGAGAAAAAGTATAGAAATAAAGAGGAGAGCCTATCGAGACAAAGAGGGACAGATAAAGAGACAAAAAGAGACAAAAGGAGACAAAATAATTACCTTAAGGATATGTGTCATAACCTCCTTTGTTGTTGAGTCCTCAAGGGTTTGTACAAATGCATAAAAATCTTCTAGCCATGCTTTTTTTAATGAATGACGAAGAAGATCTAATAAAAAAAGGAGACAAAAAAAAAAGAAAGAAAGGAGACACTTACTTATATCCATCCATGCATGCATCCATCCATGCATGCATGCACCTGCTTAGCAATAAGCAGCAGCTCCTGCTGCACAAGGTGCTGTTAAACTCTGCTGCAGCAACGGGGAAATAGGAGATAAGGAAGGAGAGACAGTAAGGAGACAATAAGGAGACAGTAGGGAGACAGTAAGGAGACAATAAGGAGACAATAAGGAGACAATAAGGAGACAATAAGGAGACAAAAAGGAGACAAGAAGGAGACAATAAGGAGACTTATTCTTACCGATATCTGCCTCTGTCATGATATGTTCGATCCTATGAGCAGGGGAAGTATCTGCAGCTCCTGCTGCAGCAGCTGCTGCAGCAGCAGCAGCATTATTACCTCCTGCTGCTGCAGCATTTGGATTATGTTGTAAGAAGTATTGGAAATATTTACCTACAGGTGTATCTATAAGTATAGATTTATATAATTCATAATAAGAAGAAGAATTATAATTTATATTACTTATTGCCTTTATTTCTATAAAATAACCTAATGGATCTATACATGATAATAAATCCTCTATTGTTTTCTTATTTATTGCTCCTTGTATTATACCCAGTATATTATCTATCATCTTATCTGCACTGTATATACACACACACACAAGGAGACAGGAGACAGGGTGGCAAGGGGGGTTAGGGACACACGGTAACAAGGGAAGGGGACAGGGAGGAGGGGAGGGGCATAAAAGACAGGAGGAAGGGACAAAAGGAGACATATACATATAAGAGGGCATTAAAGGAGACACCATAACAATATTGACTAAAAAGGAGACACATATCAAAGAAAAGGAGACACATCCTCATCCTGCAGCAGCAACAGCAGCAACAGCAGCAGCAACAGCAACAACAGCAGGAAAAGGGATTGTTGCTTGCTTACGCAATAAAATCTAAGAATTTAGCTAGAGGTTGATAAGCTTGCGATTGGATATACCTGCATATACACCACAAAGGAGACACCAGCACCAGCAGCACCAGCAGCAGCATTAGCAGGAGCAGCATTAGCAGGAGCAGCAGTAGTAGTAGTACTAAACCCTAATGACCCCAAGAGACAGTTGTGTTTCTATCCCTTTAGGGTTTAGGGTTTATCTAGGGTTTAGTGTATATCTAGGGTTTATCTAGGGTTTATCTAGGGTATACCTAGGGTTTAGGGTTTAGGGTTTAGGGTTTACTTGAATTCAGCAGCAAGTTTACTTCTTGCTCTATGCAAGATAGTAGGGACAGCAAGAGGAAGGGGCTCATCTTGCATAAAATAACCATAGTCTGTCTCCTCTAATGCTGTACGTAAATCTATACAAAAAAAAAAGGAGACAGACAAAAAAAAAGGAGACAAAAAAAAAAAAAAAAAAAAAAAAAAAAAAAAAAAAAATTT